TTAAGACAACCAGGTTGCAAAGAGCAGAACATGAATACATATAGCAGTCGCGTTTCACTAACTGACTGAACTACTTCAGTTCTGGCAACACAGAGATAGTCAGATTGGGTATAAGATCGTGTAGATAAAACAAGTTGCAATAACTTATATACTGGTTCTATCTGATATGTATGCATTTATATGTGACCTATCTAGATGATAAAGAGGGCGGTGATCCCAGTAGCCGCGGGCAGGGCCGGCAACTCCGGGCCAGAGGCCGCTCGCTCCGCGCGCGCCGCCCGCACTGGCCGCGGCCGCCACGCGCCACGCCGGCGACCACCTGCCGACGCGCGCGCTTGGCGCGCCCGGCGAGCGCAGCAGCCCGGGGGCCCTCCGCGCGCTCGGCGGCGGTGCCGCCGGGGCCCGTGCGCTCGCTCCAGGATCGGGTCGGGCGAAAGGGGGGGCTATAGCAAAGGGGGGGGTTAAGAATCAGCGCACGTAGCTGATTTTCCCGGCGCCTCCCGGCGCCGGGAGGCGCCCATGCATCGAGGAATGGGCCCCTCGGTGGGGCCGAAACCAGCTGCATGCAGCAAATTTCGTAACCCCCCCTTTCCCAAACCCCCCCTTTCGCCCGACCTGAGAGGACGCCGACGATGCGGGCCGGAAACGTTGGACAGCGTGCCGCCGCGGCGGCCCCGGCGGCACGCTGCGCCGTGCGCGCGGGCAGCGTGTCGGCCTGCCGCTCCGCGGGGCGGGAGGGTCGGAACGGCTCAGGACGCCGACGCCGGGGAATGGGGAAGTGGATGTCTGGGCGGATCGTGGTGGGCCAGACCCAGCGGAGCGACACTCCCCCGACCGTTCCAGAGACCAAGAACACAGCACCAGGACGTCGACGTCCAAATTCCTGTCGAGGCTCGAGGCAGTCCAGATAGGTCTACAGGTCTGGAGTGCTGTGTACTTAGCACTCTGGAAGGCCAGGGTCTACCCCAAAGTCCCCGACCGCATGCACACCCCGCACCGACCCTGGCCGGGCCGATCCTGGACCTGGGATGGGGCAGGATGGTGCACGTGCAGCTGTCCTGGGCCCAGGGGATCGGCCTGGCCTGGATCGGTGCAGGTGAATAGCTGGCCCCCATCGGATCGCCGGCAAGCTCCGAGGGGGGCGCCGCCTTCACCTCTGGCGGCGCGCGCCAGGGGGCGAAGAGCGCGGGGCGCGGCCATCCGAGGCGGCGCGGGTGGGCTCCCAAGGCAAGACAGGGGAGGTCCCTCGGGGGCCCTCTGGCTTCTGACGGAGGCCTCTCGGGTGTCCCCTGGCTTCTGACTGGAGAAGTCTTCTTGGAAGCCAGGGGCCCAATGCATTCGCCATCGCACGCACGTCCACTCCCCGTGGTGTTGTCGATGTCGTGCGTGCTTTTGCCCCGATGATCCAGAAGGGTCTTCGCCGAGAAAAAAAATGCACACGTCTGAGCGATGCCAAGTACATGAGGTGGCCTGGGGGACGTATTGAAACAGGAAGAGGGACCATGAAATCCGCGGAGAGATCATGGCCCCGGCCATATAAATCGCCCCCCCCCGCTAGTCATTACCTCCCTTCCCTGAGGTCCGGCGTTGCGAAAAAATGGCAACATCGCAAACAATCATCGCAGGAGCCCCCGACCCCATCCTTGCCATCGCTCGGATGTCCATTCCACGTGCCTTGTTCGATTTCTTGGGTGCTGGTGGTTGTTCGGTGTGTGCGTGTGTGTGTGAGTGTGTGTGTGTGTGTGTGTGCGTGCGTGCGTGCGTGCGTGCGTGCGTGCGTGCGTGCGTGCGTGCGTGCGTGGGTGTGTGTGTGTGTGTGTGTGTGTTTGTGTGTATGTGTGTATGTGTGTATGTGTGTATGTGTGTGTGTGTCTGTGTGTGTGCGTGTTGTGTGTGTGTGTGTCTCTGTGTGTCGTTGTGTGTCTGTGTGGCTGTGTGACTGCGTGTGGCTGTGTGACTGTGTGTAGGCGTGTCTGTGTGTGCACACGCTTTTGTGGCAAGATGATCCACCAGGATCCTCCTCGATATTCCTGGCCGAGAAAAAACGGCGGAAGTCCGAGCGATGCCAAGCACCTCCGTGCGCCATTTCTCGAGCCGCATCGGTCTGTGAGGGCCCTGGGGCCGGAAGCCCCCGGCGGAAACGCCCGCTGCGACCAACAACAACTGCAATGCCAGGAGACCTCGCAAGCCTCGGCCGGCCCCTGCGCCCCGGCTGTGCGCGCCGCCGCTGTCTACACCCCGCCGGGCCGGCCGCTGCGGGCGCCTGCAAGGCTCCCTCGCGTGCGCCCTCCCCCGGGCCTGGGCCTGAGACGAAGCCAGGACGAGGATAAAATCGAGTGAGGATGAATCGAGAATCTCTGAGATCTGGCGGCTCTGGAAAATGTCTCGGACGCCCCGGCCTTCTCAGAGCGTTCCGGAACGCTCTGAGAGCGCTGCGGAGCGCGCTGGAACAGATTTGTCCTCGTCCTAGCCCCGCCCGACCCGCCCCGTGGAGCCCTCTGTGTCGGGGCGGCGCTGGTGCTCGTGACCGGCCAGGGAGCTGAGCCTTCGGTGGCAGCTCACGGGAGCCTCCCATGCTGTCTGGCTAGCCGATCGACCACGACGAGGACGTTGAAGAGGACGAGGACGAGGGCGAGGTCGAGGTCTAGGACGAGACGGAGTGGGGTGGACGACGACCTCGGAGGGCCCGGCGGCGGCGGCCCGCGGGCTGAGCGAGGGCGGCCGTGCGGGCCACGGCCTGGGCGGGGGCGGCCGCCACGGGCGCCGGCGCCTGGCGACGAGTCGATGCGGGCCGGTGGCGATCGGCGCCGAATCGGCGCGCCCTCATCGATTGCGGTCGTAGAGGCCTCCTAGATGGGATTCGAGAGAGCAGATGGGGTCGCAGGATCGCGCCACATCGGCGATGCATCGGCAACGTCGGCGACGCATCGGCGCCGTCGGCGCGGGGAAACACGGTCTGCACATCGAGACGCATCGCCGATGCGTCGGTCATGCGGCGCGATCCTCCGACCCCATCTACTCGGACCCCATCTAGGAGCCCTAGAGATCGGAGCTGGGGCAAAAGAACATCTCGACGGCACGTAGGAGTGACCTGGGGCAGAAGAACCTCTCGCCGAAGAGTGACCTCTGGTGCGGGCTCCTCGGGGCACCCCCGATCGCTGAGCGCGATGCGACAGCAGCAGGTTGCGCGCTTGGGTTTGGCCCCCTCGCGCCTCCCCAAAAGCCGCGCACCACAGGCCACTCTTATCCGGGGTCACTCTTGCGTCTCGCCGACCATCCTTCGAGAACACGAGACGTTTCCCCGTCCAAGTCACACGGAGCACTCGAGGGCACCCTCCCCCAGGATGTACAAGAGCATCCAACAAACACGATGAATGCTGGGGCACCCTCCCCTCCCCAAGACGCCAGCGCACGCCAGTGCACTCTAAAAACGACATACCGAGAACATGCAAGGCTCCCATGATTTGCGACCGAAGAGGAAGAGCAAGAACGACACAAGCACACCAAGCTCTTGAAGGCCAGCGCTGATTCCCTGGATCGGCTTCGGAGCCCCCACCCTGGCGCGCAGAGCACGACAAGGGCGGCGCCGGAGGCGCCGCCAAGCACTCCAACGCCGATCCGACGCATCCGCGCGGGCCTCCGAAGGTGTCTGTTCATGCCGCTTCCTCCGCTTCCACGGCCACAGTCGGCGTTCGTGGCTGGGCGGGCAGCCGAAAACGTCCCCGGCAGCGGCACCTTGGGCGACGTGCACGTCCTCGCCTCTGTGGGCTCGGTGCTCAGTCAGCGCGCGCGGCTGCAGCCGCCGCGCACGCGCGCGTTGGGGATCGCGTATACCAGCCACAATGGCCTGGCGGCACGCAGAAGGGGGTCTGGGGAGGAGGGGGAGGCTTCTGAGGAGGCTGATTCTTAAAAGGCGCCCGCCTTACATCTATCGATGAAGCCCGCGCTTTTTAAGAAGCAGCCTTCTCCGAGGAAGCCTTCCCCCTCCCCCTGCCCCCTCTGCGCGTGGCCGAGCTTTTTGTGCGTCGCTGCATGGGGGGACGATAAAGAAGGCGGGGGTGAAAGGTGCACGTTTTGGGACCCTGCAGGCCTTTTGGGGCCATAGAGGGATACTCTAGGGGCCCAGAGCGGCCTCTTTTCTGCAGCCCTCGCTGCCCCCCCCCATGTATCGCCCCCCCCCCTTCCCGCGACGCCCAAGCTGTGGGGACCGCGTGCCAGCCGCCATGGCGCGGCGCGTCCTCTCCGACGAAAGCCAGCACCCGATCGGGCCACGAGGGCGCCGGGAGCGCACGGCAGTGACGACGCCATCTCGCTCACGGCCGCCGAGGCGCGGCGGGGTATCTAGGCAAGAACATTTGGTTGACCCAAAAGGGGGTCCAGCTGAAAGGGGGTGGTGCAATAGGCTTGGGGCAATTGTATTGCAACTGTACTGCGCCAGAAGATTGTATTGCATTGTATTGCAACGAATGTATTGCACGCGAAAGCCCAGCAATACATTTGCGCACCGGAAATGCATTGCACGCCCCAAACCTACTATAACCCCACAAACCTATTGCACCAAATCTATTGCACCACCCCCTTGTCGCTAGACCCCATTTTGGGTCAACCAAGGAACACCTGCCTCAACATAAACTGTCGGAACTCCGCACAGATTTCATAGATCGGCGCTGAACGCGCCAGGGGCGGCGCCTCCAATTGCCCCGCGCCGATCCGAGAAGTCCGCAGTGGACCTCCGACAGGTTATGCCTATTGCTTGGCTTCTCCTTCCACTGGCGACCTGGCTCACGGCGATCTTCGGGTGGGTGGCAATGGAGGGTGGCCTCAGCTCGGGGGTGAAGACGAGGGCCCTGAAGGGGCCCTTGGGGGCCCCTTTGGGCCCCTGCTGGCTCCCAGAGGCGCCCTCAAGGGCCCCGTTGGGGGTCTTTCCTTCCCCCCCCCCCCTTGCAGGTCCCCCCCTCAATACCACCCGCCCGATCACGGCTAGCTCTGGCGGCAGCGGCTCAGCACCGGCACACGTACTTTGCGAAGATGTCACTGTTGGCGGTGATGAGGTCCGTGCGCTTCTGGGCCTCCGGTGCCCGGCCCTTCTCGCGGGGCACGAGCTCATCGAGTCTCCAGGTGTCCATGCGGCGGTGCGCCCTGGCCACCCTGACGACGAAATTGCAGAAGAAGCGGAGTTGCGTTGTGTCCTCCGAGCGCGCCCGAAGCAGCTGCAGCTCGTCCATGGACAGGTGCGCCGGGTGAAACTCGTCCGCCAGCGCCTGGTCCAGCGGCGGCCAGGGCGGTGGGCGATGCCTCGCCTTGTCGGCCCCACCAGGGACGAAGTGGCAATACTCCCCCAGCTGCACCAGCATCCCCTCCGCCACGAACCACTCCAACACCTTCGTCATCTCGCCCCCGCCCAGCCCCAGCCTCATCTGCACCGTGCTGAGGGGCTGCCCGCCAGAGAACGCGGAGGTGACCTCGAAAAGGTCGAAGCCCTTCACCTTGAGATGTTTCCTCCTCCAGCTGGAGAATCGCTGCGAGACCGTGGTGTCCGTCATCGCCTCTCGTCCTGGGATGCCTCCCGAATGGGGTCCGAGTAGACGGGATCGGAGAATGGCGGCACATTTCTCCGATGCATCGCCGATGCATCGCCGATGCATCGGCGACGACGGCGATGCTTCTGCGACGTCGGCGTAGAGAAAATCGAGCTTCACATCGAGCCCCCTCGCAGACGCATCGGCGATCCGGCGCAACTCACCGACCCCATCTGCTCGGACCCATTGGGGAGGCCTGGAGTCCTGGCACCACGGCGACCCGCGTCTCTGGCCTGAACACGTCCACGACGCAGGCCTTCTTCCAGTACACCAGGTGCTGCGAGAGGCGCTGCAGCGTGCTGAGCGGCAGCGCCAGCTCGACCGTCAGCTCCTCGAGGCTCTTGATCGGAGAGGCCGCATCGATGATCGCGCGGACGATGTCCGCTGAGTCGAGCGGGAGCTCCTGGCGCAGCTCCTCGCGCGGGCACGTCAGCACCAGGGCCTGCCACGGGGAGGGCGGCACCGGAGTCTCGTCCTTCGGGAAGAGGCAGACGTTGCACAGAATCGAGCCGTTCACGCGCAGCGACCTGTAACCGTGCCTGCTCACGCCGTCGAAGGCATCGGACAACAGTCGGTCCAGCCCGAGCCGCTTCCTGTCCGGCGCGGCGCCCATGTCGTCCTGCCCGCCAGCTAAGTGCAACTCCGCTAGGCGCTTGATCTCTGTGGAAATATAGCCTACCCGCGCTTCCTCGCTGACCAGGGCACGGGACAGGTGGGCGGACACCTCCCAAAGGGTGCTGGTGTGCTTGTCGAGCCTCTTCGTGCGACGCGCGTCCAGCACATGCACGATGTTGAACCTCTGCACCTTCTCACGAAAATCGACCTTGTCGCGACCGTTGTACCGCGTGCCAGGCAGGATGAACTCCGTAACGTTGCACGGGAAGGACACGAAGTGCAGGTGGCTGTTCGGGGGCTCGTGGCTCACCAGCTTCGTCTCGCGGCGGCCCGCGTCGAGCTGCAAATAGAAGGGGCGGTTGCAGAGCTCCTCGTCAGGAAGCAGCAGCTTGGCGAAGATGAGGTTCGGAATCCCGAAGCACTCCCCTGGCCGGAAAGACGTAACAGCCAAAGCCTTAACGCTGGGATGAACGTTGATGCTGGGCCCCCACGGGGCCGAACCAGAGGAGCACCACGGTATAGCAGCCCCATGCCGAGCCGAAGTGCCCAGGACCTTCCCCGCCCAACACGACACCGAGATCCCGCAGGCCCTCGAGACTGCCCCCAGAGGCCCCACAAAGCTCCAGCATCGGCAGCAGACAGACCACCAGACAGCGCGGAAAACCAGGCCGCATTGGAGCCGAAGATGCTGCTTGCATCGGCGCCCCGACCACACTGGAGAGGCAGTCAGCCCAGGGGGGCCAAACACCCTCCCCCGTCGTTAGAGAATAACTCACGGAAGGTGTTGGTCGTTCCTAAGGCCCATGGCGCCCAATAGCGCGCCCACTCGCGCGCAAAGTGGACAGACTGCATCTCCCTCACACGGCGCCGTTAAGCCAGGCTATCCGAGCGCCAAGTGAGCGCTGTTGTGCGCTATTTTCGGCGCCAATCGCCGCCATACACTTGATCCAAGACGAGCGGGAGCTCCCGTGTTCTATTGTCTGACCCTCGTTGACCCTGGGTCGGGGCGACGTAAGACCCGGGCCTGGGGGACTCAGTCTTAAAATAAGGAAACACAGTCTGAAATTCAAAAGGAAGACGACACAGCCGGAAAACGAGGAGATAGTTAATGACGAGGTCCAGTCTGAAAATGAAAATGGAAATCGCCCAATCTAACGGGGCCATCATGAAAATGACGAGACCCTGTCTGAAATTTGACGCGAGCTCCCGCTGCAACCGTCCCACGAACACTGGACAGTCAAAATCCAGGACGCGCTCGCCGAAAAGCGCCGGCAAGCCCGAGTTCGAGCGTACTCGAGCCTTCCGTTTCCCCAAGGGCGCCCAACTCCGCGCTTCGCGCTGCGCGAACAGGTTCGCGCTTCCTCGCGCCGGCCCGCATCGAGGACGAGGGGGACGAGGAGACCGAGAAGGACTTGCCGTCGCTCGGACGTCCATTTCCAGTGCAGTTTTCGATTCGTGCGTGATTTTTTGCTCGATAGTCCAGGATGGTCCTAGATGGTTCTCGCCGAGACAAAAATGCACACTTCCGAGCGATGCCAAGAGAAGGAGGACGAGGAGGAGGAGGACGAGGAGGCATCGGACCCGCACCGCGCCGCGCGCAGCGCGAACCATGTCGCGCCCTCGAGGGCGCCCCTGCCTCCGCGACTGGAGAAGAAAAACGAGCGCCAGAAACAAGAACTTTTGGCGCTCTGGGCGGACTTCCCCCCCTCCCTGCCTCCCTCCCTCCCTCCTCCCTCCTCCCTCCTCCCCTCCTCCCCCTCCCTCCCTCCCTCCCTCCCTCCCTCCCTCCCTCCTCCTCCTCCTCCTCCTCCCTCCTCCTCCTCCTCCCTCCTCCTCCTCCTCCCTCCCTCCCTCCCTCCCTCCCTCCTCCCTCCTCCTCCTCCTCCTCCTCCTCCTCCTCTTCAAACTCCTCCTCCTCCTCCTCTTCTTACTCCTCCTGCATCTGCGCCGACCCCCCTCCCTGGCGCGGGGAGCGCGCGCGCGGTTCCAAGAAGTCTGCGCGGAGCGTATGTTGATGGCGTTTTCTGTGCTTCGAGGCTGGCGAGGTCCTGTGTCCGCAGGTCCAGCGAGCCTCGGAGATGCATCGGTGATGCATCGGCGACGTCGACGGAAAGCAAATCGAGCTGCACATCGAGCCGCATCGGCGATGCATCGGCGATACGTCGCGATCCTCCGACCCCATCTACTAGGACCCCATTTAGGATTAGGTCGGGCATGTCCCCCTTCTGGCGGATTTTGGGCGAATCATTAAAAATACTCCAGAAATACCCCCAGATGCTCAACAATAGTAAAACAACACAAAAAAACGTCCCGAGACTAACTGTTTGACTCTTCTTGTATACTCCTCCTGTAGAGAGACAGGCCCGCCGTAAATCTAGGAGGCCTATGGACTCCCCGACTGTCGGACCGGGCGAAAGGGGGGGATAGCAAAGGGGGGGGGTGAGAATCAGCTGACTTTCTCGGCGCCTCCCGGCGCGGGGAGGCGCCCATGTATCGAGGAATGGGCCCCTCGGTGGGGGCGAAACCAGCCGCATGCAGCAGATTTCGTACCCCCCCTTTCCCTCTCCCCCCTTTCGTTCGGCCCAAAAGTCCAGGCCCCCCGCCGCGAGCGGGGGAGAACTACGTCGCCAGGGGGGGAGGTCCGGGAGGTGCCGTCGGGGCCGATTGAAGAGGACACGCGAGAGGACCCGAGGCCCTTCCGAGGGCCACGTTGCCATGGGAGGCCCGAGGCCGGTGATGTATTTAGGGAAACACAAAGTGACGTAAACATGAAAACTCGGAGGTCCGCGCGGATTTCTCGGATCGGCGCTGGACCCCCTCCCTGGCGCGCGGAGCGCGCCAGGGGCGGCGCCGGAGGCGCCGCCAGGGGGCCCCAGCGCCGATTCGAGAAATCCGCGCGGACCTCCGAGTTTTTGTGTTTATGTCACTTTTTGTTTCCCTAGTCCTGTGTCCTAGGCATCGGACCCGCACCGCGCCGCGCGAGGCGCGAACCATTTCGCGCCCTCGAGGGCGCCCCTGCCTCCCCGACTGGAAAAGAACAGCGAGCGCCAGGAACATAACCTTTTGGCGCTCCGGGCGGATTTCCCTCCCTCCCTCCCTCCCTCCCTGCCTCCCTGGGGCCCATTGAAGAGGACACGCGAGAGGACGCAAGGCCCTTCCGAGGGCCTCGTTGCCCTGGGAGGCCCGAGGCCGGAGAGGTCCTGTGTCCGCCCGCAGGTCCGGCGAGCTGGACTCCGGCCGCAGCCCCGCGGCGTCGGCCCCGGGCAGGCCGGGCGCGGCGCCGGGCCCCGAGGCGTCCGCGGCCTCGGCGGCGCGGTGCGGGCAGGCGGGGGGCTCCTGCCGCGGCGGGCGCGGGGGCCGCGGCGAGGCCTCGAGCCTCGGCCCTAGGCTCTCGATCCTCCTCGAGCCTCCTCCCCCCCCTCCTCCTCCTCCTCCTCCTCCTCTCCTCCTCCTCCTCCTCCTCCATCTCCTCCCTCCTCCTCCTCCCTCCTATCCTCGATCCTCGATCCTCCTCCTCCTCCTCCTCCTCCTCCTCCTCCCCCTCGATCCTCCTCCGCCTCTTTCTCCTCCTCCGCCTCCTCCTCGATCCTCCTCCTTCTCCTCTTCCTCCTACTCGATCCTCCTCCTCCTCCTCCACGATGCTCCTCCCCGATTCTCCTCCTCCCCGATCTTCGATCCTGCCGCAACGGACCACAGATGTCCAACATGTCGGAATTACTCGAAGGAAAGCCACCTGGCAAACCATGAGGACTCCAGCAGCCAGCACGCAGTCGGAGGGAGGAGAGAGGGTGGGAAACAAGCTGAATGCGCTCGCGCCGAATCTGACAACCTACCCCTCCCACACATCGCTTCCCATTGCGCTGAAGTTGGCTCTATCCGCGACGGCGTGTAATAGCGGACCTGGAACGCCAAACAAGACCCGATCGTGTTATGCGAAATCGGAAAATGGGGAGCTGCGTACAGGGGAAGAGTTGGTGGATGAGGAGGAGAAGGAGCAGGAGGAAAAGAAGAAGGATGGGGAAGGAGGAGGAGGAGGAGGAGGAGGAGGAGCATAACGAAAAGCAGCAGCAAGAGCTGGAGTGAAGGAACGGGAGGAGCGGGAGGAACATGAGGACCAGGGAACAGCGGAGGAGGGGAAAGGAGGGGGGCGACAACGATGAGGAAGGACTCGGTTCCAGGAAAGTGGCCCGCGCAGGGGCGAGAGCGCCATTCTGAACGACGGGATCAAAGCCCCACTCCAAAAATAATGCACACGCTGCCGCGGGAACACCATGTTGGAAGGACCGAAACCGTCCGGATGGAAAACAGCACGTGACATAACCAACTCGAACCCATCCGTTGTGTCGAACACAAACAAAGCGTGGAGGGTGGCTCGCGGATCTCAGGAGGTCATCGGCATATTGAAACTAATAATAGTCATGTCGAGTAAGTGCGGGGATAAGACACTGAGTCGAAGCCAGGCCTGTCGTACGCACGAAAGGTGGCGACGCAACAGCACGCGAGCCACAAGCATTCGGCGCGAAGGTCCTGAGATGCGTATCTTCTTTACGGCGAGTTCCCTGTGCAGGAGTCTTTCAGTATGAGCGCGGCTGGGCGTCTGAGCACCAGTGGGCTTGACTGTAAGTGGGTCTGGCATGAGTGGGTGGGTCTCCCCTGTCGGCTCTCCCGCGGGATGCTCAATCGCACAGCCTTCCACATCGTGGTGGTCATGTGGCTGTGGATTGTAACTGCCAGTCGACTGGGCCAACAGAACAGTTTCGCCTGAGGCATCCCCGCAATCTCAGCGCACACGTTCAATTGTATCACCCTCTGGCGGCCTCTCCTTAGATGCCACGCCTTCTGCATCGTGATGATCTTGGACATCTGACCAGAGACACGTCTACCCCAACCAAAATCACGAACCGCTGGAGCAAGTGTGGGGATCTGGGAGCGAATGGGGACTTGTAGTACCCCGTGGCCGCCCCCACCTCCTCGGGCGTCCTGATGAAACGCGGGATACATAACAATGACCATGAGGCACTGAACAGAGACACGTCTACCCTGCCACATAAAAACAAACGAACGGCTCGAGAGATCCCAACCCACAATCTGGGCGCGAACCGGCAAGTGAACTGCCCCTTGGCGGCTCCCCCTTGGAGCGCCCCAGTGCCACGCCCGATAAGTCGCGATGATCCGGGGCCTCTGAGCAGAGACGCGCCTGCCCCCACCCCCGCAATAAAATGAGGGCAGGAGGAGGAGGAGGAGGAGGAGGAGGAGAAGGAAGAGGAGGAAGAGGAGGAGGAGGAGAAGGAGGAGGAGAAGGAGGAGTGAGGGCAGGAGGAGGAGGAGGAGGAGGAAGAGAAGGAGGGGTGAGGGCAGGAGAAACCCGCCGAGGCATCCCCGCAGTCTGAGCGCGAGCAGGCCCGAAAAAGATCTACCCCCGGCGGCTCCTCCTTGGGGCGCCCAGGTGCCACGCCGGCAGCATCGCGGTGATCAGGGACTCTGAAAGGATGGGAGCCACCTCCTCCTCCTCCTCCTCCTCCTCCTCCTCCTCCCTCTCCTCCTCCCTCTCCTGCTCCTCCTTTCCTCTCCTGCTCCTCCTCCTCCCCGTCCTCTTCCTCCTCCTCCGCGGGGCAAGATGAGCTCCTCGCTGAAGACGCCCCGAACACGAGCGCAAACGAGGCAGCGAGATGCACCCTGGCGGCTGCCCCACGGAGCGCCCGAATGTTATACCCGCTACATCGCGGTGACCACGGGGCTCTCAGTGCGGGGCGCAAGCGAGCGCCTCGCTCGAGATATCCCCACAATCTGAGCGCAAACGGGCCCATGAGATACTCCCTGGCAGCTCCCCCATGGAGTGCCCAAATGTTATGTCTGCTAGGTCGCGGTGATCTCGGGGCTCTCCCGGAATCGGAGTAGCGTGGGCCAAACGAGCGCTTTGCCCGAGACATCCCCGAAATCTGATCGCGAACAGGCCCGTGAGATACCCCTGGCGGATCCCCCTTGTAGTGCCCACATGCGACGCCTGATAACAAAAGTCTGTGTATGATGTTGTTCTGTGCATGGTGGCTGTGACTATGAGTGGGTCCGGGTTTGACTTGATCTCAGCAGGAGTGACAAAGCGTGGGCGAGTCGGATTGTGGGCGAGTCTGAGTACGAGCGGGCCTGAGTATAGAATGTGAGTGTGAGTCTGACCGTGAGTAAGCCTCCCTCCCTCCCTGGGCTCGGGGGTCAGACACCGCCGCCCCGACCTGTCCTGCGGTGCGACCTTGCCAGGATCTGAGGGCGGACCCGGCCATGGGTCATTTCCTGACGGTTCTGGGGCACGTCGAGGGCCCCCAGAGGCAGACCACACTAGAAGCATACGTCTTTCTGGATCTCCATAAGTATATTGAAAATGAGACTTGCTACTTTGTGTGATGCCTCTGCCTCCGTCTCTCATCTCCTTCCTTCCCGCATCCCCTCCTTTCAACACTCAGACCCTCTCGCTCACATTCGCACTCAGATCCGCTCGCACTCCCCGCTCATTCTCAGACTCACGCACTGAGGCCACCCGAAATAAGATCCGCTCATACTCAGCTCTGCCATTCTCACCACGCATACCCAGAGGGGGAAGAACAATCAGCGTCGAGTCGGGACGGATCGGATCGGAACGTGCGCCTGATCGGGCAGCACCGGCAAGGAGTCAGCATCGAATCGGATCGCCCGCGCCAGGATGCACTGGAGCGCCATGCGAGCATCGGGCCGCCACTCGGATCGTCAGAGCATCAGAACCGAACAAGATCGAGCCTCGAGCCGGCCGAAATCGACATCACATCGGATCGGGCGAATCGAGACGGTCCCTGGGGGGCTGGGCGGGAGGGGGAGTCGCCTTCCAAGGACCGCGAAGCGCGAACAACTTCGCGCCCTCGTGGGAGCCCTTGAAGGGGGCCTTTCTTCCGAAGGGCCAAGGATGGTGTCTCAGACGCCCTCGCCGCGCACCGGGGTGGCTCCAAGGGGCCCTCTGCCTTTCTTCCGGCGCGATGAGGTTGGACAAGTTCGTGACATGGTGACTCCTCTCTGCAGACTCCGCCGTGCCCTCCAGGGGCCTCTTCCCTGGCCACATATTAACGGCACTGGAGATGCAGATCTCGCGAGCGGAGACCAAGGGGCCCTCCTGCCCTCTGCAGTGCCTCCCGGGCTTCTCGCCGAGGCCACGCCTCTCGCGCCAGCCCCCCCGCTGGTGCGGGCCGCCGGCTCCTGCTGCGGCGGGTACTGGAACACGACCTGCGGGGATCGACGGCGACAGCGAGGGGTTAGACTCTGGGGTTCTGCACGTATTTGTGAAGTCGACGCTGGAGGACCCAGGATCGAGGTTCGAGGTTCGAGGACGACGATGGAGGGGATCGAGGGCGACGATGGAGGATCGAGGTCGAGGATCCAGGTTTGTTGATGCCCTTGGGGCTCGAGGTCAGGGGATCGAGGGTCGAGCACGACGATGGAGAATCGAGGCTCGAGGGTTCATGTTGCTGGGCGCTTTCGGGGCTCGGGGATCGGGCGTCAAGCTTCGAGGGCGACGATGGAGGACCGAGGACGCCCATCGAGGCTCGAGGCTCGAGGCTCGTGGATCCAGGTGTTTGGGGGTGCTCGTGGGGCGCGAGGCTGGCGGGAGGCCCGAGGCTCGAGGACGAGAATCACAGGACCCCGGACGACGATCGGGGCGCCGAGGTCCCGGGCTCAGGAGCGAGGCCTCGGGGCGTCGAGGCCGGCACTCTCCGCGCGCGCACCGCCCCGGGAGCCGGCCTCCGGGGGCCCCCTCCAGGCCCTGGCCTGCCAGAGTGCCAAAAAATGACACTCCAGACCGATATAGATCTATCTGGGCTGCCTCAAGCCTCGACAGGAAGCAGGACGTCGACGTCCTGGTGCTGTGCTTTGGCCCTCCTGAAGGTCAGGGAAGGGCGGCGGGTGTGGGCACTTGAGAGGGGCCCAGGGGCACACAAAGAAATACACACAGATACCAGGATTCCCCAGATTTGCCAATATCTTCGGGTTCTTCGTCTTCCCCCCCTAAGGCCCATATCTTGCTAGACCTTCCTGGGAATCGACGCTCAATTGTGTCTGTGTGTTGTCGTTCCCCTCCTGAATATTTTGGCCCCCCGGTACATGAGCAGACGGTCGGCAGCACGCTATGCCTTGCGAGTGGATCGCGTGTCGCACGCCTCGGGCCCGAGAAGTGGATGGCGTGCAGCACCGAGGCGCGATGGGCCAGACCCAGCGGAGCGACGCGCTGCTCAGAAGTTCCCGACCGCGTCCGTCCATCCCCGCCGACACCTCCGAGGCCCAGGCAGATCGATTCCCTGGGCGGGCATGCACGAGGAAGCACCAGCCCCTCGGAGCGGCGAGTCGAGGACGGCGGCCGATGCTCGGGCACGCCCTCGGGGAGACTCCTGTCGTCGTGCCGGGGCCTCGGGCGGACCGACCGCGTCCGTCCATCCCCGCCGACACCTCCGAGGCCCAGGCAGATCGATTCCCTGGGCGGGCATGCACGAGGAAGCACCAGCCCCTCGGAGCGGCGAGTCGAGGACGGCGGCCGATGCTCGGGCACGCCCTCGGGGAGACTCCTGTCGTCGTGCCGGGGCCTCGGGCGGACCGACTTCCCAGTCCGGCCGTCGCTCTCCTCCGCTCCAGCATCCAGGGGGGTACACCAGGGCCCCTCCTCCTCCTCCTCCTCCTCCTCCTCCCTCCTCCTCCTCCCTCCTCCTCCCTCCTCCTCCCTCCTCCTCCCTCCTCCTCCCTCCTCCTCCGGCCCCCGGCCCCACAGGAACGGCGCTCGGGCGAGACACCCTCCGCGAGGCAGGCCGTGGCAGCCCACGTCCGTGCTCGGACTGGCCGGTCGTAGGGGGCCCCGTCGTCGCGGAGAGGGATATCGAAGGCGACGCGCGAGGCTCGAGGCTCGGGGACTCGAGTTTTGGGGTGTGTTTCGGGTCGGGCGAAAGGGGGGGATAGCAAAGGGGGGGTTTGAGAATCAGCTCGCGTAGCTGGTTTTCGGGACGCCTCCCGGCGCCGGAGGCGGCCACGTATCGAGGAATGGGCCCCTCGGTGAGGCCGAAACCAGCTGCATGCAGCAAATTTCGTATCCCCTCCTTTCCCAATCCCCCCCTTTCGCCCGGCCCGAGTGTTGGGGCCTTCTGGGGCGTTCCCGTGGCCACGGCTGGGCCCACGTCGAAGCCCTGGCCAGAGCCCACCCCTAGACAGGCCCGTCGTCGAGGAGGGATCGCTCACTGCGTTCTTTCTGGAAAGAGGTTGGAGTATCAGATTGAAAGGTTCACTGAGTGTTGAAGCAACGGAATCCTAAGGCTTCGGATTGGTTCATGATAAACGTTTTCGCTGTCCCGCCAAGAACCTCCGGGAGGTTCCTCGTCGCCGGGGCCGGATTGCCCCCGGGATCCGGTGCAGGACGCCTCCCAGGACCCGACTCTCGGCCCCTGAGCACAGGCCTCCTCGCGTCGTGCCAGGAGCCAGGGCTGCTGGTTGTCACCAGGGTTCGACCCCACAGGCGCCAGGACCGTCAACCGCATGGGCAGCGGGACTGGCTTACTTTCTACAAGGTGGCGGAAATGGAGCCCGTTCGGACGCTCGATTGTGAGTCCGTTCGGCGGCCGAGTGGAAGGATCTCGGGCGTCGATTGGGCTCGGAAGGGACTCCTGGTCGGCTCATTGGGACCTGGACGCGTCAGAACCGTTTTCTGGCCGATTCCAGAAAACTGATTGTGAATTACGAAAATGCATGACAGGCCCGGAAGTCCCCCGGCCTTCTGAGAAGGTTTGTGAGCCTTCCCCGAAGACGCAGACGCCTTCCCCAGAAGGCCCGGGGAGGCATCTGAGAAGCCCCGCCGCCTTCTGATAGGGCCTTTTCCCTCTCACTTCCCCCCATCGCTTTCCGCCGATATTCAACGTACGCTTTCCGAGGCCCTGCAGCTGCGCACTTTGCATGCGGATGTCCCATATCGCGATGTGGCACATGTGACTCGCCCGCCGCTCTTGCCGATGCGCCGTCCAAGCGCGGCTCCGTGTGTGTGTGGAGCCCGCTGAAGGCCCGGGTCAGGAATGACGAAAAAACGCCATCTTGAGCTGTTTCTTTTCAATGCGTTCGACGTCTGGCTTCTGGGCCCAAGACCTCGGGTTAAGTCGGGCGTGTCCTCCTACTGGCAGATATTTGGAAACCCCAAAAATCAACACAAAAAACATGAATAGTCAAACCTAACATAATGTGTTTGACTAGTTTAATACTCCTCCTGTAGATGGTCCAAGACCTCGGGTCTTTGGCGGCCCTTCTGGACGACTCGGACCCCCGAAGGCTCCCGACGAGACCACAAGGCTCCGAAGAGCCAGCGAGAACGCAGGAGCACATCTGGCCCGATGGGCTTCAAAACGTTGGGCGTCTGGGGGACCCCGGGCACGACGGACGACCTGAGTGGCAACGGCACGGGGGACTGGCTCAGGGGAAGGGAAACATCGACCTGCATTCGGCGGTGCGTTGCCTATAGATCGGCGACAGGCGCTCGATGCCGCATCCACACGTTCCTGGGCGGGGCGCGCTATCGGGCCCCTCTCGGCGACGAATGGGCGATTGGAGGTCGATGCATCCCTCCTGAACTGACGTTGCCACTTTGGTTTCTGCTCATGGCTTGGCCATCTGGCGGCCGTTCGGAACGATCCGTGTACCCCCAAAACGCCCTCGGCGAGGCGCAGCCGCTGGAAGACAATCCGAGGCTGGGAAGCCGCCGAGAACCAACCAAGACGTCCGAAAACCTTAAATCTTTTTTAAAAAGAAACGACAAGTACCATAAACATAAGCTTTCTGGAGATCCACGCGGATTTCTTGGATTGGCGCTTGACCTCACTCCCGGGCTCGCGGAGCGCGCCAGGGGCGGCGCCGGAGGCGCCGTCAGGGGGCTTCAGCGCCGATCCGACGCGGACCTCCGACAGTTTGTGTCTATGCCATTTCTGCTCCCCGAACCTCGAACCTCAAAAGTTCGTCCCTCCCTGACTGAAGGGGCCCTGGGACACACAAATAAATACACACAAATAATAGGATGTCCCATGTTGTTCCCATATTTTCTGAGTGTCTGACTTCCCCCCACTTCCCATATTTTCCCATACTCTCCTGGGAATCGACCATTCATCGTGTCTGTGTTTTTTTCCCCTCCTGACTGACACTGCCCCGCGACGAGCCCTCAGCGAATGGCGAGGCGGCGGCCGGCACGCGAGCTGGGTGAGCCGTCATGGGCGCCTCTGCGGACCTCGGCCGGGCATTCCGTCCAAATTTCGACTACCCCTGTGCGACCTTTCGTCTAGACGTCGTCCAGACTTCATCCAAATGTCACCCAAATCCGACGAAGCCCCTAAACCGCCAGGAATGCTGGGACCCTCTGAGGCTCCCACGAATAAGTAGAATTCTCCCAGAAAGTCCGAGCAGATGGTGTGGGAGGATTGCGCCGCATCGCCGACGCATCGCCACGCATCGGCGACGGAGAAAATCGAGCTCCATATCGCGCCGCATCGCCGATGCATCGGCAATGCGGGGCGATCCTCCGACCCCAGACATGCGACGTCCTTTTCTTTTTCAATACGCGGTCCCCGGAAGTCCAGATCCTCTCCCCGCGGCCGATTCGTGCTCCCGAGCCGATTCTTCACTGTCCTGGGGCCCAGCGAGGGCTTCCCCAGGCCGAACATCTGTTTCAGGACTCGAGGCGATCTGACAGCGGATAAGCCCAACCCTGTCCCAGGCTTCGTGGATTTGTCGAACGGACAGAAGTTGTCAGGCACAACCTTGGGATATACGATGGGGTGACGTCCATCCTGAATAGGGGTGCGTCCAAGGAGCCGCCTTGGGGTGCATCCCAGGGTTCCCCTCCTTCTGAGCGGCCCAACGTTTCGGGCAGAGCTCGGGGGCTGGGGGGAGAAGCATCGCCTGCGACCCAGCTCGGACGTCCACTGCCCGTGCGCTGTTCGGCTTCGTGCGTGCTCTTGTCTTGCCCGATGATCCACAGGATGCTCTTCTCAGTATCGTTTAACCAATCCCCATCCCCAGCGGCGTGGCCTGGGCCCCGCTGGCCGATTTACCCCCTCCTAGATGGGGAGATGGGTCGTTCTCTTCGAATTTCGAGGGGTGAGTGTATCCCCAACTGGGGTGGTCATTTGGTGGGGGTCTCGAAGGTGATGGAGATGGGGATGGGGATCGGTTAAACGATACCGATCTTCGATGGTCCTCGCCGACCAAAAACAAACAAACACGGCCGAGCGGTGCCAAGAGGATGAGGGCCCACACCGCGGGAGGGGGCAGGGCCTCGGCCTGCCGCGAGGGCAGCTGCGCCACGAACGCCACGCCGAGGAGGGCGTCCATCGCAAGGGGCGGCTGCGGGGGGGGGGCAGCCTGGGCCGAGCTGGCTGTCGGCCCCCGCCCGGCTGCAGTCGGAGTCTCAGGAAATGCAGGTGGCGACGGTCAAAAAATGATCTCGCACGAGACGGCATGGCGACCTCAAGCGGCGGCTTACGCGGGCCGCCCGCGCGGCATGCCACATTCGAGACGAGGGCGCTTACGCGCGACCTTACGCGGGCAGCTTACGCGCCAATGTCGGCGCAGACAACCCCGTTTTTGTTTGCGTCGCACAAGTGAACCTCGTTGGAAGCTCATTCTAGCATGTGCCGCCTCGGTCTCATAGCTTCTAATGGGCGTTTTCTTGTTCGGCGTTTCGGTATTGGGCGGAAGGGAGGGGGAGGGGGGGGGGTCTGGCTCCGGACCTCTGCCTGACGCCACTGTTCGCAAGAGTACGCCCCATGGGGGAGACTCCGCCTGCTTGAAATTGGCGCCAAAAAGGATCGAGATCTACTTCATGTGGGGAGGGGGGGGGGGGCGAGGGCCCGCGCCGAAGGGCCAAAAAGTGAATAAGAAAACGATCACCACTAGTGGCCTTTAGCGGCCCTTGGTGCTTTATGAGCGGCCGCTCGTGGCCTTGCGTCGCCTCTCGGCAGCCCCTGGTGGCCTTTGGCAGTCTTCTTTGGCCTTCCGCGGCACGTAGTAGCCGAACACCAAATCCCCAAGAGGTGTACTCCTTATACAAGTGAAAACGAGCTTCTAAAACGATCCCCTTCATGAGATTGCGTTTCTCTGGTTTGGCGCCTCCGAAGGGTGTGGTTTGCGCAGGCCAGGGGGCAACCGCTGGGAGGTCTTCGTCGGAAGGGCTCGGGAGGATTAAGCACCATTGAGGGGCTACTACACCAGATTAGGCCGCGGATTATGCGGGACTCAGCGGGATTATTAAGCTGGATCAAGCCGGATGAAGCGGGATTAAGCCGGATTTCGGAACAGGGAAAATCAGAATCGGACCTCCCAGGAGCTGCATCCGAACCAAGGGTGTGGTTTGCACCGGGTGCATCCATCGCGGGGCGGCTCGGGGCGACGGCCTGGGCCGAGGCGGCTGTCGGCCTCTCCTCGGTCGGACTTCGGCGGCGTTCCAGCCTCGTCACGTGACAGGCCGTGGACCCCGTGCTGCCCAGCGCTCCTGGGCCGCCGCCGGCGGTCTTCGGCGGTCTTCGGCGGTCTTCGGCGGTCTGGGGCGGTCCTCGGCGTGAAAGCTGGACGCTTGCGTTTGACACGGGGTCAGTTGTCGAACACCGAGGCCTCGGGGTGCTCTCCAGCAGCCGCGCCTCGCAAATATAGCGCTCCAGGAGGTGCTTGGCTCGTCCCGAAGGGCCCGTGGAGAGCCGAGCTCGAGGCCTGGAGGCCGGGGTGCAACGCTCCTCCTCCTCCTCCTCCTCCTCCTCCTCCTCCTCCTCCTCCTCTTCCTCCTCCTCCTCCTCCGGTATGGGCCCGATGTCCCGCCCGAACGTGCGGATTCGCTGTCGGGGGCCGATCGCCGATCCATCGGCGATGCATCGCCGGTTCCACCTCAGCTGCAGTCTAAGACTCGAGGGGACTGCTTTTCTCTACTTCGGCGACTCCGACGGGTGTAGTTCGCAACCCGCGCATGGGGGGGGGCGGGCGAAGACATCGGCAGAGATCTCTGCCGCGCCCCGACGAAGGCTCAGCAGGCATCTGGCGCAACGTGCTGCACCCCCCAAAGCCCCAACGGCGCCGATCGCAAACCATACCCTGGCGTAACCACACCCATTGTGATCGCCGAACTTCTTGCTTCAACGGTCGTTACCCAGGGGGGTGTGGGCCAGGGGTAACGGGAACGCTTGGGCGGGGTGCGATGGCTAAGTCTGCGCCCGAGCACGAGCATGTGTGGGGGGGTCCTGCCCCCCTCACCTCGACGTACGATCGTTACCGCTAGCCTCAGGGGAGGGGATTAGCCAATGTAACGACCGTTACGCGCCTGAGGATAAAACAACCAGCAACAACAACAACAATATCCGGGCTCTGCCAGCCCTGGGGGCTCAGACGACCCACTGTCCCAAGATGACGGCCCCAAGGCCTCGAGACGGCCTGTGCGGAGACTCCCCGAGGCCTCTGGAGGAAGCCGCGATGGAGGACGAGCTGCGGAAGCAGGGGGAGGAGGAGTTCGACGCGGAGGTAGAGGAGGAGGAGGAGGAGGAGGAGGAGGCGGAGGAGGAGGAGGAAGAGGAGACGACGAGGAGCAGCAGAAGGACGAAGATTGGAAGGGGAGATGAGGAGGTGTTGGAAAGGTATTGAGGCGGGCCTAGCGTTTTGCCTGAGAGTTCCTGACCGTTTATGATCCTCAAGCTTAGAATCTGCAACAGCTTCACGGATGGAAGGCGGGTGGTTTCAAAATGTTGCTTTCGCGTTAGCGCCGCGCACATTCGTTTCAAAAGTGCGGACAAAACTCCACGGATGCAATGCGGGTGGTGTTCAGAATGTGGCTCTCGCCCTAGCGCCGCGCACATTGACCTGAACGGTTTGCAAGAGCTTCACGGATGGATGGCGAGACCTTTTCAAAATGTCGCTCTCGCCTCAGCGCCGCGCGCATTCGGCTCTAAAACAATTGTAAGGCTTTCACGGGGGAGGGCGGAACCGTTTCAAAGTGTGTCTCTTGCCTTAGCACCACGCCCGTTCGTATTAAATCTTTGCAAGGGTTTCACGAATGAATGGCGGTACTGCTCCAAAATGTTGCTCTCGCCTTAGCGCCGCGCGCATCCAGCTTCAAAATGTGCAAGGGTTTCACGGGTGGAGGGCAGTACCTTTCCAAGTGTGGCTCTCGCCTTAGCACCGCGCGCTTTCGTTTTAAACTGTTGCAAGGGTTTCACAGACGGAAGGCGTTACCTTTTCAACATGTGGCTCTCGCCTCAGCACCGCGTACATTCCCATGGCTGACGTCCTAGAGATGGTGTTCAGGCACACTGTAGGACTGTCAGGGCGCAACCATTACATGTATTCGCGGTGTTAACATCCAACGAATGGTGTTCTCGCACGATTCAGGGTCGTCCGGACGCGACAAAAAAACATTCACTCGCGGCGTTGCGCTCCCAGGAACGGTGTTCTGGCACGGTTCAGGACTTCCAGACGGTTGTCTTCCAATGGGGCACTTCCCGCAAGGAAACGAAACTTTGGAGAGACCTGCTAAGAGGGAGCTTGAAGAGAGGGTTCATTGCAGCATCGTCGATGGGTCTTGGCTTCACATTGGTTCTCCTCGTTCTCCTCGTTCTCCTCTTCCTCCTCCTCCTCCTCCTCCTCCTCCTCCTCCTTCTCCTCCTCCTCTTCCTCCTCCTCCTCCCTCCCTCGACCGCGGCACTCCAGCCCGCTGCAAGGGATGTCCACGAGGAGTGGCACGGACTGACACCGCCGACGGGCGCGACGTCGCAAGAACGCCCGACGAGGTTCCTGCCTGACGAGGTTGTGTGGGGGGGGAGGAGGAGGAGGAGGAGGAGGAGGAGGAGGAGGAGGAGGAGGAGGAGGAGGAGGAGGAGGAGGAGGAGGAGGAGGAGGAGGAGGAGGAGGAGGAGGAGGAGGAGGAGGAGGAGGAGGAGGAGGAGGAGGAGGAGGAGGAGGAGGAGGAGGAGGAGGAGGAGGAGGAGGAGGGGGGGAGCCGTCGTGGCAGACCCCTCTTCGGGGCACCTCCAGAACCAACGCCCTGGCAGGTGCCGCTGGGCGCTCGAGGGAGACCTCCGGGCATGTGGACACCGCCGACGACGGCTCCCCGCAGTGCCCGAAGGCACGCGGGGCTCGCGCCCCGGCCTACGCGATCGTCCTTTCGAGCTCCAACACGGGCTGGCAACCACGCCACGATCAGCCCGACAGCATAGTGTGAGAGGGAGCCCCTCCCAACCACGTGGTCGGCCAGCTGCGTGGTCGGTGCCTCCGTGAACAGGGCACCCCACCGGCCCGGCAGCTGGGAGGCACCACGAGCGCCTGAGCACTTCGCCCGCGCGTCGACACGGCGCTTCCGCGGTCGGTGCGCGGCAGCGCTGCGCGCTTCGAGGGTACTGCAGAAGCGTCCATCAAGGGATCCTGCTATACGTAACGTTGGGGCACAATCTTGTCGAAGCTTGAGGTTCATAGGGTCCCCAGGAGCTGTTGGTCCCTCGGGCCTGGGGCCGTCGGGACATGAGAGATGCCTGCGGAGAACCTGCTGGCACGCCAGTTTCTTATTTGAGGTGCCGACAGTGGGAAAAGGGCTGCGCTGCCCACAGAAGTGCCCACTGATTTTGATTGTGTGTCCAGGATTTCTCGAACCGGCAAGGCGGGCGGTTCGTCGCCGCGCCGCCGATGCGCCGCGTCCAGAACAACGGTTTCGCGCTTGCGACACGATTGCGGGCGGTTAATTAGCGTGCCAGGGCGAGGAAAAGCACCCTTGTTTTAGCCGGCGCGTGGCTCCTCGCATCAGGAGCATGCGCGCGCCGACCCATGCGGCGGGGCTCCGCCGAGCCTGGCAACCGCCACGGGACTGGGCTCCGAAGAGAGCCTGCCTACAAACACACGTTGCCCCCGCATCCGGTCTTCGGTGTTTTTTGTAAGGGGATGGGCACGGGGCGCCAACAACGCAGGCTGGACGGAAAGACGCACGACAAACCCCTGCGCGCGGGCGCCATGGTCGCGCGCGAGCTTGCTGTGGGGCTGGCGGCGGCTGGCAGGACGCGAGCTTTGATCCGATCTCCCTGCGGGGAGGGGCGCCCCGACGCCGTTTCCCGTGAGCACCGAACGACCCGCCTGGCGGGTCGCGCGTCTGGCGCCCACTACGGCGATCCCTAAGACGCCCACTGTTCTTTTATTGTTTGTTCTCCCCCCAAGCGCTACTCTGGGAGGAGAAGGAGGAAAGCTGCGAGAAATGACCGCGCGACAAGAGGCGGCCACTGTTTTTTGTTGTTGCTTGTTCTCCCCCCAAGCGATCTCTTGGGAGGAGAAGGAGGAATGACCGCGCGACGAGAGCCGGCCACAGTGCAGAG